GTCTAAAGTGGTAGGAGAATAAATAAAAAAAGCAACAACACAGTCTTCAAGCTTCAGCACCAGGCAGCCGGTGAGAGATGGAGGGTAAATATTTCCACTGGCTACTTGGGGAGCCAAGGAAGGGAGGGAAACAATCTTTTTTTTTGTTGTTTTTTTATGCTGTTTATGTTTACGTTTGTTTTCTGCTGGCTGTCATCTGCTAGACGTTTACCAGAAATATCATGTTTGTATAATAATACCCTGTACTGGATACTAATATTTACTTTACCTTTATTCTAACTCTTATACAGTTGCATTTTCTAGGACTTTATCCAATGATATGTGTTCAGTAAAAGGTTTGCAGTTCACAGTTAGGAATATAATGGTGAGGTAATGTTAGGGTTGTGGTTACTGTGCAGGCGTGTGTGATTGAGAAAGAAGGAGGGAAGTCTCTGAGTCACTTTCCGATATTTGTATACAGATGGTTATCCCCCAAGAGTAAACCTAAAGCCACAAAAAAAGCAGCCCTGAAGCACAATTAAAGTGAGGTCCCTAAGCTGTGGGATCCTGCTGAGAAAATGCTTTCTGTTTTTCCTCCCGTTGTTACACTTGTTGGTAACTGTGTCACGGTGAGCTGAGGCAGATTTCACCGGAGATTAACCAGAAAAAAATAAAAATCTGGTGAGAAAAACTCTAAATTCAGATATTTTTCCAATCAGTGAATTGGATGCAAAAAAAACAGGCCACCGGAGGAAGCCTAGAGATATGAAAACCTAAATATGGAAAATACATTTTTTGGCAGGTTGTTTTTATTCATTGATATGTCAAATATGACTTTCTTTTACTTTGTAAATAAGTCTCCATGTAAGACTTTCAGTACATAACACAATTGCTGAGAGGTCTCTGGCTCTTTGGTTGTTTTTTATGCTTTTAAAGGGGCCCAGTGACATGCTTTGGCTGTAAATGTATTTGCCAGTAGCTCAATGGTTGCATAAAAAAGCCTTCAAATAGAATTAGGATGCATATTGGTTTATTACGTTATACTTTTTGTTTACTTAATTTTTTGTATCCATTTGCTAGTATATTTATAGCAGTTTTTTTTTAAATATTCAACAAAACTATATAACATGAACAGTGATACAATATTGCATCCAATAAGTAAATAAAGAAAGGAAAGAGCGAATCAATTCCTAGATATTTGATGCCAAAACTAATAAGACCGGAGGCTGCCCAGAATTTAATATGAAGGTTGGAGCTAACTGAAATGAGAGCTAAATCTGCTGAAGCTACCACGATGTGTGAGTAAGTACTGACAGTGGATGGCGACGGAGTACAAAAATGTTAATGTCTGCTGATGGAGCCTGATGCAAAAATTCCTTTGGCTCAAACAGAATTAGGCAAACACTATCAAGAGGAAAGCTTGGCGTACACTGCTTTATTTTGACATAAAAAGGTGTTTTCGTTTTTGGGGGGCCCAGCGTTGTTTTTGGTAGAGGTATAATGCATGACTAGGTCCCCCCAAGCTTTCAATTTCTGTCATGCCATTTCCAAATCTGGAAATGTTGGCACCCTTATGGTAAACTTAGCCTCAAGATAAGGATTCATATTTTGCATTAAGGTTTGTTTTGGGTTCTAAGTTGTCCCAAAAACCCCCATCTAACCATCTTCTACCACTTATCCGCCAGGGTTACAGTGGGGGTGGACCTGGACAGGTCGCCAGTCCATCACAGGGCAACCCACGCATGCATTACAAGAACATGCAAACTTCATGCAGAAAACGGGTGGGCCGGGGGTCAAAACCAAGACCTTCTTGCTTCAACTGAACAGTGCTTCAAACAACATCACTGTGCAGCACATCACAAAACATCATACTTTCTGTTTCCCGTACGAACGATGCACTTCACATTTACCTATTAAATATTAAGAAATGCTACAACTAAGAATTAAGTAGGTTAATATTAGGTCAAATGAACCTACTTAATTCTTAGTGTGTAGCATCTCTCAATGGAAGAAAGACCCAGTGTTGGACCTTGTCACTGTATTGAGTAAATCTCTATGTCTCTTTTGCAACTTATTTCCACTGGTAATGACTCAATTACTTTAAGTTCTTGCTAAAAACCTTTGTAGACATTCTAACTATTATTTAAATTATAACACAATACTATAAAAATTATATTTTAATTTAACTTGTTATAGGTTTCATAGTAGATCAAAATGTTTTTTTTTAAACAGCAAAAACTATGTCTTTTTTTATCAAAATTCTTAAAAAGAGATCTAGAGTTCATACAAGAAGCCTAATGTGACGCTACATAGAAATTATTTTTCACATAGCTTCCTTGGAGCTGTTGTAAGAAACCGTTTGTCTTTGCCACATTGAAAGATCTTAAAAACAATTCAGGAAAATACATATTTTCTGTCTTATGTGGGTTTTGTGGTGGCCTAAACTGTATACAGCACCAGTGGAATTTCAATGTCAAAGTGGGTGGCAAATGTGCAATCTGTGATGTGTATTCCCATTCGAAGTAAACTCCCAAGACAGCTTGAGAATGGCAAGAGAACCTTAGTCTCACATGAACAAAAGCACAAACAAAAATAAAAAGATACAAATATAGAAAATCCTTGTGAATGCTTGTATTTTCTTTCACCAAACAATATTTGTGTGTGAAAATCGTGATTCCAGTTGATCTTATTCATCAAAAATGATGCAGACATGAAGTCAAGGCTGATGCCAAGTTGCAGCCTTTATAATGTAGATGAGATGCATCTCAAAGCTGTAAAATCAAGTTATCCAACAGATGTTTTTGTCACAGAAGTAAGTGAGTTTCCTGCTTTGCCCTGCTGAAAATCTAGCCCGTGACCCCATCTGACTCTTGACTCCCTCATTCAGCAATGCAAAACCATGGAAAGTGCAAGATAAACAGCACTGTTTATTCTGCTGATAAACTTTTAAAGGACTTGACTCAGAACCGGACAAACTGACCTCCCTGCCTTGACAGGCTGAGCAGACACCGTTAAAGACATTCATTTTTACAAGATGTATGAGATTTGTTCAATGTAGCTGAGAAAAACCTTCTGTAAAAAGGAGCCAAGGCATACAGCTGAGCAGACAGACTCCAAAACTAACCAATCAAAATCACCCTGCTATGTAATCTTGGCTGAAAATATTACTTATAATTAAACTCTAAAATGAGTCCACATAGTGAAATAGTTGAGAAAACATTCTTGACTGTGCGAATCATACCCGTGCAAAGAAAGGTCTGATCCCCTCTGCAGCTGATAAGAGGAACCATAAGTTGTTTGCACAGAGGCCCTAGTCAGTTGTTGCTCTACCAACTAGATATCCATATGGTTCATGTTAGAAACCGTCTTTCTTGCACGCCCCATCGCTCCACAAAAAAAGAAAAAAAAAAATCTTAAGTCTCTGTGGTTTTTATGCAGACCAGAGGCTGACACTGAGGCCAGCGGACTGCTGAGCTGGAGCGTGCAGGAGCTGTTGAAAAAGTATAGAGTAACAATGCGAAAAAAGTCTGTTTCCCTCAGTGCAGCAGGAAAGCAGGAGCTGTGGATGCAAGTGAAGCCGACATCAGATATGCCTAACTATTGTGGTCGGGCACTTAAATGTAACCCTGGGTTCTCTGTTTTAAGCTTCTGGGCAAACAGACATCACTGGGCAGCTATAAATACATTTTATGACAAAGGAAAAATGTAAAGTTCAGTCATAAAAAGAAAGCCTAGCAAAGTAATTTACTTACTTTTGTCTTTTTAAAGAATTATACTGTGACTATAGAGGTTTAGCTGCCATTTTCATGTAATTGTTGGTTCCTTCCACTTTTGATTTCTAAAAATCAGCCCTAAAGTATGTCTCCAGGAGCGGTGCACTGATCAGCCTTTTTCTAGCCAATACAGTTTATGGGTTTTCCTTTAGAGCTGACCTGCTGACTCTAGATTTTCAACAGAAAAATACAATGTGCTGTTGGTTATTTGATTGAGCTGCTAGTTTTAATCCAAAAGAAGACGAAGGAACTAAAAAATCGACAAATCATACCTGTCTGCTTTAAAATTTCTAACGTTGATCTCAACCAAGAAGTGTACAAAAAGTGAATGTATTCATTGACTGATAAATGGTGAAACTTCTTACTTCATATTTTGTTATATGGGGAAAACAACTTTGGATTATTCTGTATTTGACCCACAGATCTGAGCTAATCAAGTGAAAATGACCAGATTCTGAGCTATGTAAGAGCGATAAGTGCATTTTAACTCTCAAGAAAATGTATTCAGTAAAATATTGACCCACAATGGAAAAACTATGTAGAAATCAGTAAAAACTTCTTAAATTAAGTGTATTTACCTTAATTTCAGTAGGTAAACAAGATGATATGCCAATGAAATTAGTATTTTTTTTACTCTTAAAATAAGATAATTAGATAATATGCACTCGTAATAAGACAATGCAATTGTTTTTTTCTTATTCTAAAAATAAATTGTCTCATTCCATTGGCAAAGTGTCTCACTTACCTCCCCACTTCAAGACAAAATGCACTTATTTTAAGAAAAAATTACTTATTAAGATTTACATTTTTTGCAGTGCAGTAGACTTTATGATTTGTCTTCACTTAAAGCTGCTGGCTACGAGCATTAAACCTATTGGTATAAACATTTCCATAGAGCCCAATAACATGAGGGAGCCAACAGATTATTCTTCCATAGAGGTCTAAATAAAATAGGGATCATATTCTCCCTTTTATTTGCAGCCTGAGCTCAATAATAAATGTTTTTGGCATCAATAGGACCCTCTGATCTGAGTTGCTTTTATAGCCCCTCCACTACATCGTGGCTTGTGCACAGCAGCCTGAAAAGCTGCCAGCTCTGCGTGCAAGGTGAAGATGCAGTATTCACCCCTAAAAAGGAAAAAATCTGCGCTCTCCCACCAATCAAGAGTTCTTTTCAGTTTTAGATCCAATGAGAGAAATAAACTACAGACACATTCAGAGTGGAGATGAGTAAAAGGTGTCACTTACATTCATGGGACTCAGTCCTGGATTTGCGCACTGGTTATAACCTAATTAGTATGCAAAAGGGTTTCCAATCCCCCCTATAGACGACAGCCAATCTGCCAGATAAAAAAAAATAAAATCTTGAATGAAAAGAGCTTTAAGGGAAGGAAGGGTTGTCTTCATAACATCCAGCATAAAAAAGAAGAAGAGGAAAAAAAAGAAGCGTGTCAATTCCACCGGCTGTCAGGTTAGGTTACTCCACCAGTGAAGCGTCTTTCTCTATCAGGTGTGCGCGCCTGGATCAGTTGGGAAGCTGCGGTGCGTCTTTTCGCTCTGCAGCGACAATAAAAATAAAAATCTAAAAGATCTCAAGTCGGGATTTTTCCCTCCTGTCTCCAATGTTTTTATTTCCCCCCTTGTCTTTTTCCTCTCAGCATCAGTCTCTCACAGACGCTCGCACCTCTCCGGTTGAAAGGCGACTCCTCCGCCACAAGGCCCAGCCCCCTATCCTCCTCTCCCTCCGTCCCCTCCTCCGCCACATCCTCCCCTCGTTTACCGACCGCTAATTTATTCGGGTAGCCACACACAAAAGGGGGAGAGGAGAGGCAGGCTGTTGAGTTCAGTGCGGGGATGAGAGAGCAGACTTTGGTGCCCCCCAGCTCCATTCAGTGGAAGTAGTCTTTATAGAGACAAAGGAGCTGCTCAAAATACATTATTGGTGTTAGTTGTCAGTCTTTTTAGGTCACAGTATGGGAGGCAAGGAATTTGGATGTACAGCCAGTTAATTAAACATTTTACTAATGTATGATCATCATCCTTTAAGTGTGCGTTTGCACTTCAGGGCAGCCTTATTTGCAAAATAGCCAAAGCTCAGTTTGATTACTTGCTGAAATATGCCACATATTATTAACTACCGTATATATATATATATATATTTTTACCTCGACTTTGATTAGTTCTTCCTGACAGCAGAATGTTCCTCCATCAAAAACTTTCCTTTGTAGCCCTGGCCAGAAACTGAACTTTAGCCCTACTTTGTCTAGAGGCGTAGCCAGAAATTTTTTATAAGGGTGGCCAGGCGATAACCAATGTACACTGAGGGGTGGCCGAAAGCGGATAGGCACCCATATTTTCTAAATAAAGACTAACTATACTTTCCTACAGCCTTTGCTAACAAATTGACACATATATTCAAACATCCATAATTTCTAGATAAAAGGTATAGCGGATAAAATTGAGTTCTGGGGCGTAAACCTTTTCCATTGTTATTACTTACCTACTTGTATCAATAAACATTCTGCATAAAATTAATATTTACAAACACTAATATCTACATAAATTGATCATTTGATAAGGTTTTATTGAAATTGTTATTTATCTTTGATTTCACTCAAGANGGGTGTCTGCAATGGTAACTGCGTTATAGTTACAGTCAAAGTAATTAGTTAGATTACTCGTTACTAAAACAAGGTAACGGCGTTAGTAACGCCGTTACTTTCAACGCCGTTAGTCCCATCACTGGTGGCCAGGCGATAACCAATGTACACTGAGGGGTGGCCGAAAGCAGATAGGCACCAGTACCCCAGGGTCAATCTATGCTGTTCTAACAGGAAAATTAACGAGCAAAACCCCCATATTTTCTAAATAAATACTAACTATACTTTCCTACAGGCTTTGCTAACAAATAGACATATATTTAAACATCCATAAGGTATAGTGGATAAAACTCAGTTTTGAGTTCTGTGGCGTAAATCTTATTCATTGTCATTACTTAACTACTTGTTTCAATAAACATTCTGCATAAATTTAAGTTTTTATTAAAATTGTTATTTATCTTTGATTTCACTGAAGACTCCTAGATGACTTGCAAAGACACATCATTTTATTCTTTAACCCATGTAACACAAAATCTAGTTCTGAAAAGAGCATGTATTCTGAACTTATAACCTTTGATTAGTATATTCACGTGTATAAATAACAACAAAAAATTTTATGTTTTGAATATTCCACTTGAGAGTATTACTGCTGCAACCATCTGTATTAGTGGAAAAGAAAATGGTAGGGATGGCCAATGATTTGCTAAGGTTGGCAATGGCCACCCCTGGCCCCCCATCTAGCTCCGCCTTTGATGTTGTCCGATTACAAAAAAAACTTGGAAAACACTGCTGTGTTCAGGGTGACGTGAAATGTTCGATCACATTTTTCTTAACCTCTGCTTTGTCCTGTGAAGTTTTCCCCAATTTCTTTGATCTTTAGAAACAATGAATGCCATGCCTATAGTTTAACAATCTAAGTCTGTGAGTTCCTTAATCTTCAAGAAGCTTTTTTTCCACATTTTTTTCTAATAATCCCTCAATGCCTTTTAAAAAAAGCTGTTGCTAGATTAGGATAAAAAACAAAAGGAAACCTTTTTTCTGAAGGCATTCTTCTGCACTTAGTTGCTCGTAGAGCAAACTGATATAAGGGAACCAAGTACAAAGCCACACAAATTAAGATTTTTATTTCTGCTGTAACAAAAATAAAATTCTATTTTTTTTCCTTTTACTGTTATGAGTAGCATTGTGTTGGTCTATTCTGTAAAATCCTGATGAAATACACCAATACATGGCAATTTGACAAAGCATATATTCCAGTGGTCTGAATAATTTTGTAACCATTGTGTTTAAAAGCCCTAAAATAAGGAAACCCAAACACATATTGTAAATACCTAATATAGTGATTTACTATCGTTTGTAATTGTCTGGATAAAAGATTAATAACCTATAAGCAGAGACAGCAGATCATCCAAGACTGAGCTTTAAACAGAGACACCCTCTATTTAGACTGCTAGCATCAGCAGGATAGAAGTCATTCATCACCCCCAGATTTTAGGTCAAGCCTCTAACTGCATCACTGAGGCAGAACGAGGCAGAAGCTGAGGAGGGGGAGACGCCGTGTGCAGACTGTGAGCACTGGGCGTAGTTCTGAAGATGGGTGACAGAGGTTTGGGATAAGGACAGCAATCAATCTATTCCTTCTTCCCAAGATTTTCCACTGGATGATATGTTGCAGGCAACGTGGGGAAACAGTGCATTTAAATCTCCAACCACTATGTGTTACAGCATCAGCCATGGGATGACAGCCAGACACCATATATGTTAATCTTTGAACTCTGTGTAAGTCTTCCCCACATTAACAGATGTAGCTACTTTGTAGAAGATTTCTCATATGCAAAAAGGAAAAACAAGGAAATCTATGAGATGATTTTGATGTTGGCAATTATGCATTTCATAGGTACACAGTATTTGAATACATAAGTTGACCAAGTGGTTTAGTTTTAGCTGCTAGAATCCAAATAGTAGGTGAAAATAGGAGGGGATAATGTCAGTAAGCACTGCTGGTGATGAGAGATGAACTCTTAGTTCTCAGACCCAAAGGGTCTCCAGACTGGTTCCCCTTAGCAAGCTCTGAATTTCCACAGCATCAATAGCATAACCTTTAAAAAGAAGTCCCCCAATCACTTTCTGAGGTGGTACCAAAACCAGCTCAAATTACCCGTTTTGATGTGCAGAAGAAGTGGCTCTACATTAAGCTCCTCTTGCTAGCTAGAGCTTACACCATACTGGGTCATGGTCCATATGTCATTACAATAGTTGGACAGCACACTTCAGATAGAGTGCCTTTCATAAGTATTTATGCTGCTTGATTTATTTATTTATTTTTTTTATGGACAAATATATCTATAACATCAAATTATGTCACAAAAAAAAAGAAAATCCAACTGAATTTTAAATGTGCACTAAAGATGATATATGGGTTTCAACACAGTGGTCAGTGGCAGCTGGTCAATAGAGGGCACTAGAGCGACGCCCTACCCACCAAAAGATCTTGACTAATCCATAAAAAGTCAAAAAGACAATTATAAAATTAAAATTTATCGAAATATATTATGTTTATTAGATGTGCAAGATAAATATTTAATCTTTAATGGCGAGTAAAGCTGTTTCGTTTGTTGTCAGATTGGTGACGTATATCCGCCCTAGTGAGCAAAAATCTTTGGTCGCAGTAGCTCCTCTGCAATGCAAAGGAATAGGAGAGCTGAAAGGAACTGTCGTCACAACCATAGTGGGACTGATTGACAGGTGGAGTCAAGTCCCTTAAAGCAAACTTACCAAAAGAAGGAGGTGAAATCATTTGGACCTGATCAGTTGAACATCAAAATTAATCAGCAGCACAAAAGCGGATGGAGATTGTTCACTCTGTCTTTTTCCAGGACCTCTGTTAGCTACAAGGCTTGGCAAACTGCATGCAGCGAGGCTAACGCTTTATCCTGCTTTCCCTGCCTTCTTGTTCAAATAGCACTTTTTAGAAAAGGCAAAGAAGAATGAGCGATCTGAGATTCACATGGAAAATATTACATAGTGTACTTTTTCTACATGTTTGATTATTTGCATAGTTGCTCTTAAATAAACACATTCTCAGAAAATAGTTTTTATATATTAAAGATAATTATAAAGCTGAATAATAGCATCTCCATTAATAAAACTGTTATATTATTTTTTTTTTAGGTTTGTGACACAATATTGGACGATGCAAAACACAGATTTGCCTTCTCAGAGCATCAGAAGCGCAACATTTATGTACAAAAAGTAACCTCTACATGAAATTATGTTTTTGTTATTATAATGTTTTTTGCTGGTGGCATTCTTGTTTGATAGGTTTTTGGTGTACGTCCATTTTGAATTTAAGCAATGCTCACGGTAAACACTTAAATCTAAGGCTGGATAGCGGCAGGGGCCCTCTGGAATATAAACAAACAAGGATCTAAACCAGGGTTTCTTAACTCTGGTCTTTAGGACCCAGTATTCTGCATGTTTTAGATGGCCTGACCTGAATAAAAAGGTAATTAACAGGTTTTTGCAGCATTTGATGGCTGCCAGGAAATAATGCAAGCATTTGAATCAGGTGTGCTTGAGTAGAAACACATCTAAAGCATGAAGGACAGCGTGCGCTGGGGACCAAGGTTAAGCAAACCCTGATCTAAACCATTCTATTGACCTTCTGGCTCGAGGATTAACTGTGGTCCTGCTGGAAATAAAGCCTCAGATCTGTATTCATTTCCATCCATGTAGCCATCAGCTGTCTTCCCTCTCCCTGCTGAAGAAAATCACCACTATGTATCACAAGCATGGCATGTTCATGATAGTTTAACAAGTAGGCCAAACACAACTATTAATAAAGGTTTTAATGTAACAGTATGCATATTGGGTACAATTTGATTGAAAAAAAAAAACTTTTTACCCTGGAAAACTTTATTGAAATTGAGAAAAAGGGATCAAGGTGTTCCTAAAAAATCTATGACCCTGACATGAGTCTGCGGTAATAAATGCATGAAACGAAGGGTGTCCAGAAAGGTTCAGATCAGTTTGTTGGACCTTTAGAATCATGAAAATAAAAACATTCTCAAGGAAAATTTAGCACAAAACATGAAGCAAAAACAAAGAC